ACCTCACCTCTGTGCCACTGAATGCAGCCCACCTCTGTGCTGAAACAGTCACTGCTTAAAACTATAGTCAAGGTACCAGCAAAGGTAGTTTAAATCACAGCAAACTGAAATAGAGTTTATAACAAGAATCAGGTATATCCCATTGAAACGACAGAAGGAATTTTAGGTAGGAAACATGTAATTACCTATACTGGAGTTTAGCAAATATACTGACATTTACATTTCAACCCAAACAAAACAAGAGCCATGGGATAGTAATGGCCATAAATGATCAGGAATTAAGTGTTATCTAGAGGGCAGCACCTTCCAATTTACTGTGCCCCTTAACAATATCTGGAGACATTGATTCAGTAATAACCAAGAGGGCGAATACATTTTCTACAGAATCGACAAGGCCAATTCTTACAGCATCAATCTTCTTGCCATTTCTATACACAGTCACATAGTCCAATCCTTAGACCATACTTACTAAAATATTTTTTCTCATTACGTAAATTCATTCACTCCATTGACATCAGCGTAACTGAAAGCAGGATTTGATCCTATAGGACAGTATTTTATTTCATGACATTTTGTATGGGTCAAATTCTGTCCTCGATTACATCCGAGCAACTCTAGTGTCTTCATTAGAGTTGCACAGATGTAACTAAGGGCAGAATCTGGCTTTTTAAGACTAAGTAATTGAGCCAGCCCAGTGAGTTAGTGGCAACATAATGGGGGATCTGAATATGAAGCCAAAATCCTCACTGCCAGGTCACCATGGGCTGAGAGTTCTACAGAGGAAACATTCTCAGTACCTGGGGGAAGAGTATACTTTCCAAAGCAGTGGTATGAGAGATATATAGAGTCCTCCTCTGCAACATGAGCTTTCCATGTTGCAAAGGAAGTGCATGTGAAAATGATGGGATACCCAGATCCATAAAAGTCATGGAAGACAGGAGACATTCCAGAAGACTGGAAAAGGGCAAATACAGTGTCCATCTATAAAAAGGGAAATAAGGACAACCCGGGGAATTACAGACCAGTAATCTTAACTTCTGTACCCAGAAAAATAATGGAGCAAATAATTAAGAAATCCATTTGCAAACACCTAGAAGATAATGAGGTGATAAGTAATAGTCATCATGGATGTGTCAAGAACAAATCATGTCAAACCAACCTGATAGCTTTCTTTGACAGGGTAACAAACCTTGTGGATAGGTGGGGAAGAGGTAGATGTGGAATATCTTGACTTTAGTAAGACTTTTGATACTATCTCACATGATCTTCTCTTAAACAAACTAGGGAAATACAACCTAAATGGAGCTACTATAAGGTGGGTGCACAACTGGTTGGAAAATCATTCCCAGAGAGTAGTTATCAATGGTTCACAGTCATGCTGGAAGAGCATAACGAGCCGGGTCCCGCAGGGATCAGTCCTGTCATAAATATAAAGGAAAGGGTAACCACCTTTCTGTATTCAATGCTATAAAATCCCTGTTTAATGGCTGGTAAAATAATCTGTACTGGATGGAATGTATATTTCTGTTTTTGTGTCTTTTTGTAACTTAAGATTTTGCCTAGAGGGATTCTCTCTGTTTTGAATCTGATTACCCTGTAAGGTATTTACCATCCTGATTTTACAGAGGTGATTCTTTTACCTTTTCTTTAATTAAAATTCTTCTTTTAAGAACCTGATTGATTTTTCATTGTTCTTAAGATCCAAGGGTTTGGGTCTGTGTTCACTTGTACAAATTGGTGAGGATTCTTACCAAGCCTTCCCCAGGAAAGGGGCTGTAGGGCTTGGGGGGATATTTTGGGGGAAGACGTCTCCAAGTGGGCTCTTTCCCTGTTCTTTGTTTAAAACGCTTGGTGGTGGTAGCATATGGTTCAAGGACAAAACAAAGTTTGTACCTTGGGGAAGTTTTTAACCTAAGCTGGTAAGAATAAGCTTAGGGGGTCTTTCATGCAGGTCCCCACATCTGTACCCTAGAGTTCAAAGTGGGGAAGGGACCTTGACATGGTGGCAGCGAGGTTATCTTAGCTTCTTAACCCTTTACAGGTGAAAGGGTTTTGCCTCTGGCCAGGAGGGATTTTATAGCACTTTATACAAAAAGGTGATTACCCTTCCCTTTATATTTATGACACAGCCTCAGATATGAGCAGATACTGAAGGCTGTCTCACTTGAACGTTTTTTATATTCTCAACTAAAAATGATACAAGGCAACAGTACTTCTCCACTGGCCTTCACTAGCCAACAACATCAGTCTCAAGCACAAATTGATGGCTGAAGTATTCCCAGCACTTTCTACACTTCAGAAAGGGACACTGGCTGAAAGTCAAGCAAATAAAATGTGATGTTTCCCCCTCAAATATCTGCTTTACTTCCAGGGAGTTGGGCAATTCTGACCAAATTCACTCAATTTTATTAGCAACATCAAAAAATTTCCTCACATTAGGAGATACTCAATTCAGCAACTGAGTGGAGGTGACAGATTAACTAAGCTGTCTGCCCCACAAAATAGATCAATGGATTGAATAACGATTCCTTTGCCTCTCTCACAGCCAGGGCATAGGAATTTCAAAAATACCTATGTGCTGTGGTCATTTTCCCTCTCACTTCAGCTGTTGTGGGACATCTATAAACCAAAGTGATCCATGAGGTAAAAGCCAGAAAAGATGATGCCTTAGAGGCCACTTCATAGATAGTTGAGGACAAAAGTGTTACAAAATTTCACCCACCCATCCATAGATTGGTTTGTCAGAAGAACAGTATTCTGTCTCTCAGTCCCCTGGAACTGCTCTGGTACCTTTACTTTTCAAGGGTAAACCCCGTGCTAGGAGAGGAAAACTCCAATTTGGTCTTGAAGGAGGTAATTTTTATTTTAACTATTAAAAACTAGGAGGCATGTCTCTAAAATAAACATGAAGCAGAGCAACAACTGTAACAGTTAGAAAAGTGTGGGCCAACTTGCCCATTCACAGTATAAAATGTAACAAAATCATTAAACAGATCTATGAAGAGGAGGGAAGACAGTTGTAAAACAGAACAGGAGTTTAAATTTTAAATGGATTCTGTCAACTGAAACTGGAGAAAAAAAGCTATGCAGAAACAGATTTTCTAAAACCAAAGACCAATCAAAATGATTTTACAATCCAATAAAAAGAAGGCCTTTTAACAACAACAAAAACCAAAACAACAAATACACACTTCCCTGCAATGTTTGAAACACAAACGCTGAAGCAGTATGAATCTGACGGCATGTTTAAAGAAAAAAGAGTTATAAAAACCGTTGGGAACATAAACAAAAATGGAACTATCTAAATTGATGTTTATTGTCCTGAGAGAAAAACAAATAAATAAATCAATAAACAACAAGTTAAGGAAACTGGATATACTTTTAAAAATCTAAGTTGTTAATCATAATAAATTTGTTTATTTACAATGTATAATTTTAACTTTAAGGTGTCCCCTTTACCTCTTATGACAGCAGGAGAACTAAAATACCCCAGGGTGGAAACTTTGAATCAGTGACCAGCTAAAATAGATATTCTAAACAAAAGCAAAATTCTAGGGGATGGGAGAGTTTGGGCATATCTATTTTGGAAATAGATTCTGCAACATGGATCATCCAAACTGACATTCAGCTCTAAAGGCCAAATCAAAGTAACAGTGTTTTGTAAATGCATGCAGAAAAGACCTGTAGCATGTGGCTACTTTGAAAAAAATCATGAAATGAAATGAGCCTTAACATTGTCTTGACAAGCCTGCAGGTTGTAGCAGTGAGAGATGCAATCAGATGGTCATTTAAGCACAGCTTTCTTGGTAACAACAGAATTTATTGTGTTGGTGTTAAAAAGTGGTTTGAATTTTCTAAGGCCTTTCGTCAGCTCATCCCAGGGATCTTTTCATGTCAAGGCCGTGGAGAAGGCCTACACTGTAGGGTGAAATCCTGACCCCATTGATGCCAGTGGGGCCAGGATTTCATCCATTGTGCATAGCTTTCTTATACAACGCTCAATTCCATTCAAAAATTATCACACTAAATTCAGTTCAGTTACACCAGTGTACCCAGAATAGTTTAATTCCCTTCAGTGGATTTACACCACACTACATTAATGGAACACACGAAGATCATTAATTTCAGAATATGCACATCTGTGTTGGGCAGATATTTGGATAATTTGTATTGATGATTTGTGGGCAGTAAATATAAACAAAGGTGACATTTTATCCTGTGTGAAATCATAAAATGGATAGCTAGCTAAGTGGTTTTAATTCTGAATTTTAGTTAAAGGTGGGTTCTAATGCTGGTAGTAGTAGCTTGATGTGAATTTAAGAGGGTTAGGTTATTCTGACATGCAGTTATGATTTGCTTCCTATCTTTATTTTATTTGAACGGCATCTATCCACAGCATCATCTTAGTCCACCCTTCTATCTGAGGGCACTCAGTATTTCTCAGAATCAGGGCCACATATTCTTCTATGAATAATAAACATATTCCCATTTGTAGATAGCTGGTAACCTGGATAACACAAGGGAGAAGGAAGAAAACCTGCTAATTGCAGTGCTTACTATCACTGTCTGAATACTCTGATGGGCAATTTCTCACTAAACAAGTATTTAATTTTTTATAATGTTCTTCCCTCAAGCCCCATAATGTATTAATTAGTTTTTGTTAAATAATCTAGCGACAATATATTTATTTAACAGCACGGCAACAAAATGAAGAGTACTTTGATTCATTGTTTCTATATTAATGTTTCTACAAGGCAATACTTCCTTCCCTCCCTGATCATTTTTTTCATTTAGTATTCATTACATTTCACATGATGAATTTACTAGTTTTTATTGTGAATGTCTGAGTATGTAATCCTGCAGCTATTCCGTTACAATCTGGCATTAAATAACCCGCCACTGAAGCTTTGCTTAGTGCAGCAGTAATTTATATATATGTTTTATCTTTGCCAAATTAGAAACTTGCATGCAGATGCACTTACAAGACTGTACAGACTAACCTTGCTGCATGGAGCAATCCAGTAAACCACTGACAGGAATGGCAGCCCTACTGCAACTGCAAGAACAACTAGAAACTTCACTGCCATGGTCTGCTGACGTAAACCTGAGAGATTTTCATACCAGATTGACAGAAGTTGTTGCTGGCAGTTTGGATGTGCTACAAACTATGACAAAGAAAAGGAACACAAAAAAGGAACATTATTGTCAGAATACCACTAAATAAAATACTAGCCATCTGAAATTGATGTAGAATGTAGGAATAACAACAACTCAGTTAACATTCAGAGCACTATCAGAGTGTACAGTAGCATAAAATGGCAATCTGCTCGCTTTGATAAGCATAATCTCCCTAGAATGCAGGCACACTGCTATTCATGGCAGGAATTTTGGCTAAACTGGTCCTAACATCACACTGGAATCTGTGTGGCTAGTTAAAACTTTTTAAAAAACCAACTCATTCTTCAAACTAGGGGAAATTTCATTTCACCTGTTCAAGTGTCAATAGAATGCCTTTGCTTATGCCTTTAACTTCATCTCAAATGTATGTTTTATTGTTATGTATGTTATATTATTTCATTGCAATATAGTGATGTGAAATGGGAAAAAAATAAGAAATGAGACACTGAATCAAGTTGCTCTATTCACAGTTTAAATGCTATTTTATTGCAAAGTGAGAGTATTGATGAGTTTAATGAATTTTAAAACAGCAATCTAAATCCTGGTCCCATTACAGCCTGTGGAAATGTTGCCATTGACTTCAGTTGCATCAGGATCTGGCCTGGCACTGGGGGCACTATGGAGTCTTTCTACGCCAAGAGGTTCCAATGTGAATAATTTTAGGAATGTGAGATCCCTGCATCCCTCAAAATAATTCTGGTTAAGAAAAAAAACCACAATTTCTATGGTTAATTCCTTTGTGCCAATGATTATGATACTGCAATTTTTCACAAAAGACTTTTTGCTAGGAAAATTTGTCATCAAGATACAATTAAAAGAGAATCATGCAGAATCAGAGCAACCTAGGGCTGGAAGGGAACTTGAGAGGTCATCTAGTCCATCCCCATGGACTAAGGCTGGACCAAATATACCAAGACCATCCCTAAATGACGTTTGTCTGTTCTTAAAAAGCTGTTTTTACAAATCTCCAATGACAGGGATTCCACAACTTCTATTAGAGCCTATTCCAGTACTTAGCTGCCCTTATAGTCAGGAAGTTTTTCCTAATATCTAACCTAAATCTCCCTCACTGTAGATGAAGCCCATTACCTCTTGTCCTACCTTCAATGGACATGGATAACAACTGATCACCAACCTCTTTATACCCAGTCTTTTTAACCATTCCTCATAGGTCATGGTTTCTAAAAATTTTAGCATTTTTGTTGCTCTCCTCTACACTCACTATAATTTGTCCATATCTTTCTTAGTGTGGTGCCCCAAACTGGATAGCGCTGGTGAGGTGTCAGCTGGAGCTGAGTACAGAATAGGACAATTACCTCCTGGCTCACATACAACACTCCTGGAGGAGAGTATAAAATAGATGTAAAGTCAGTGTACTTCTCCTAGGCATGCAGAAGTCACCCTCTGTTCTTAAATAATATACTTACATGGACACACCTTTTTCCCCTGGATGTTCTAAACGGTAGTATGAGCATATGGATTACATAGCATAGCACAACATGAATTTCCAAACACTTACCTAACTTTAATTTTACAAATTGCATACGTGATATTTCAACATTTGCATTTCAAATGGGTACAGATTCTCCATCTAGGCTCTAGAAAATCTGGACCATGAAAGGCATTAAAGTCATCATAAATCGAGCAGTACACATGATAAATACTAATTATTAATGGTTGTCATTTACCATTATTTTAAAGATATTACTATGGCATTTAGATAGTATTCAGTAGCAAAGAATCAGCCTCAATCTGAGCATAATGCACAGGAACTAACTGGATCTATTCTATTCAGGTTTGTATACAATGCTCATCACCGAGATATCTGAGCACTTCCTTGTAGTGCATTAAGCAAGGTGACTACACATCTGTCATGTGTTGCTTGTGCTCTCCCCAGATGGAGAAGCATGTGGAGTGGAGTGGGGTGTGTGTGTCTTTCTCTTTTAAAAAATATAAATATACCTGTTCCCAGTTCATTGTACTGGGAATAGCTACACAGTCTGCTGACATTTATATTCCTGATGCTCTCATTTCTGATGCCCTAAAAGTTGTTGCCTTTGTGTCCTGTACTGTAGATGACAATATACAATTTTCAGTCATGAAACAAGGAATACACAAAATGTTCACATGAAAAATATCAGTTCTTTTATTGAAAACGAGGAACAGCAGTTACTGGTGCAGGCAGTCACTAACTGTTCTTCATCATTCCATGACAAATCATTCTAGGTCAGGTAGACAAATTCTGTAAAATGAGGAAGTGTAAAACACAGCCCTCTTTTCCATCCAAGCTCTGTGACATTGTAAAAGGTATACTGGAAACTGAGGTATAAATGGATGGGGATTTTCTTTATCTGGTCTGTAATAAACTATAAACTCAAACCTGTAATATTTACTCAAGAACTCAGAGTTTTACAATGGACATTTTCCAAATTAAAGTGGCTAAATCAGAACTAATGTCTGCTAAAGAAAAATAGTAGGGATAAGTAGAGAGAGTAAATGACTAATGATGAAATAAAACCCTTCAACGTTTAATATGTAGGAGACATTGTTCAATAACAGTTCAAACTCCATCCAGGCACAACATACACACACCTAACTATTTTAGGATTTTCCAAAAGAAACAGATCAATTAGATCTGCATAAAAGGGCTCTATTTCTGCCCAGGTAAACTGGATGAGTACTGTGGGTCCCTACTGGATTTCATAGAATTCCATCTCTTCTACCTTTCCTGGTTATTGGATGTTGGTGAGTTTTATTTGTTTTTCACTGTGTAGCTGTAATTCTTTTTGTCATGGTGGGAAAGCTTTATCATAGGTCTTGCAGCTTGCTCTAAAAATGGTCAGATTCTGCATTAGTCTAATCTCCTTTGGAAGTTAATTTAACAGGTAAATCCCCTTGAATAAAAAAACTTTATCTCTGGTTCACACACACTTCGTCCTGGACATTATGAGCTTCACTGTCCAGGAGAAGCATAGTTATCCAAAAGAGTAAAGGTGGAGAAGCATCTACTAATGTAGTTGGGTCCTGACTTACTGAGTGCATTCAAGATCCAGACCAAGGCCTTAAACTGGCAACAGAAGTGAACCAGGAGTTGATGAAGGGGCCATAGCACGGAGATGATATATTCATTCCAGCATGGGTCATTGAGGAGACTGGTGGCCATGGCTCTAACCAAGCTGGAGCCTATGCATGGCTTCCAGACTGATCCCCAGATCATCTATGCTGATTAATTCTGGTATTTTGTAAGCTACCTAGATTTGCATACATCTTTCAAATTTTCTACAGCAAATAAAAATTGGCCTTTCTCAGGAGGCAAATTCTCTGTGAATACGGCATTAAAGTTTGACATAAATATGTATTTATTATTATAGGGCCAATATACTACATTGTACATTTTAATTAACTATATCCAATGATTTTGTTTTAGAAGATGGATTAATTATCTCTCATTGGTTAAATAAATAAATGCAAAACCTGCAAATAATGTACACAGCTAGTTCAAGTAACCATATGTTAATAAGACTGCCACTCATTTAAACAACTATTTTATTAATACAAGGGCTTACTTTTTTGACTTCATACTTAATGGCAAGTTTTAAGCGGCTAAGGCTGGGACGACCATGTTCTCCACTATTATGGCTCATCTCCACATCTCCATTCAAAATAGCTTCCACTTCTTCAGTATTTCTGCACAAATCGAGGAGTCCAACTACAAAATCTTTGCATTGCACAGACAATTTTTTGTAATCATTCTGGAGAGGGGGAAAAAAGAAAATTAATAGCTGTTCACACATAACTCATGAGAAACCATTTTACTCCTTCAATGCTATGAGTTGACTTTCTGAGACACTGTTCACCAACTAGCCACAGGAGAGGAATGAGAAAAAGAGCACTGGGCCTGTATATACTCCTTTTATTTGTAGTTCTCAAAGTTCTTTATGAACATTATAAATTAAGACCCTCTGAAATAGATATTATTTTCCCCATTTTTGTGATTTGAAACCAAAAATATATAGAGCCAAATTCTCCCATTTAAATCAGTCAGTTTGCACTAGTTTAACCATGGAGAATTCAGCCCATCAATGCATGGATTATAAGGCCAGCAGGCGAGGGCCATTATGACTACCTAGGCAGACTTCCTGCAGAACACAAGCCATAGAATTTCACAAAGTGGTTAACTACTCTCACTGTAAAACAGCGCTTCCTAATTTCTAGTCTGAAGTGGTCTTGCCTCAGTTTCAAGCCATTGCATCTTGTTATGCCTTTGTCTGCTAGATTAACGAGCTCTCTACTATCAAAAATCTTCTTCCCATGGAGGTAATTACAAACTATGAGCAAGTAACCTCTCAACCTTCTCTGAGAAAATCTAAATAGATTGTGTTTCCTTTGTCTCTCACCGTAAGGCAGTTTTTTAGACCTTGAATCATTGTTGTAGATCTTCTCTGAACCTTTTTCAATTTTCAACATCCTTTTAAAAGTACAGCACCCGAACTTGAACAGTACAGTAATGGTTGCATTAATGCTATATGCAGTGGTGGTAACAGTGTGATAGAAAGCTGTTACCAATCTGCCTGAAGCATCAGGTGATCAGTCTGAGGCCACAGGTTCATTAAGGGAGGAGATGACGTAACACACCAAGTGTCTAAATTTTAAAGCTTTATTAATAAAATAATAAAATAACAGCAGAGAGTGAGGGGTGCTTCCCATGTCACTCAGAGGAAGGAAGAAAGCATTAGTGCCCCAAGCCCTAACGCACTTTCATACTCACACATGCATTACCTGAGGCTGGCCAGGCCTGGCTGTAACATAAGAAGAAGGGGGGAAGCGTGGACGGGAGTTCTGTCCTGTGCACACAGGTTGTCTGGGTCTGCTGTGATCTTCAAGTTGCTCCAGCTCTCAGGAGGGTTTTAAGTCCAGGGCTCCTTGTGGGGGGTGCTTCGTTCAGGGACCTCTGCTCCTGGTGCCCTCTGTGCCAATCCAAACCAGCTTTCCATTGTGTCTTCAGTTTTCTCAAAACACCCCGGCTCCAGGGATGCAAGGCTCGGCTCCCTCTCTTGCCGTCTCACCGGTGTTTTCAATCTCTGCATTCTTAGACCTTGTTTTCTTCTTTGCTGGCCTCGCTGTCTTGCAGGTCTATGCAGTTGGGTTTTTCTGTCTCATGGCTGCTTGAGCACATTCACACCCCCGTCTCTCTTGGCTGTCAGCCAAGTCTCGGCTAGTGCCAGAGTCTTATCATTGGACTGAGCTTCCTAGCTGCTGTGTTGAGTTAACCCATTCTCTGCTCTCTTTCTCCTTCCCCGTTTGGCCTCTTGCAGCCTGCAAAAGAATCTTTTACTCTTCACTCACACCTTTGACCCTCCCCAAAATGCTTTGTGATGCTTGCAACAGCGTTAGCAACGTGCAGTGCTGATCTGCCTTCCCCGGGAGAACCCCTGAGGTTGTGCCAACAGCTCCCTATTGCTACTCAATATCCCCCTGCGTACACACCCAAGGATATCACTTGCTTTCTTAGCCACCACATCAAACTGTGAGCTAACGTTCAGTTGGTTATCCACCTAGGCTACTTAGTCCTTTCCTCAGTCAATGCTTTCCAAAATATAGCCATCCATCCCTTAAGTGTGACCCACTTGAAGAATGGAAGTTAAGTTGCTCTCACAGTGAGCCAGTGGTAGGGTCAGGGTAGAATTTTGGAATACTGTTCCTGTTTTTGCAATTTCCAATTTATATAACTTGAAGGTGAAGCCAAGGATAAAAGGTATCAGGATACAGAGGTGAAATATAAGTATTAATTAGTGTTGTAACACAGGGCCTACAGGCCTCACGCCTGTAGATATTTAGCTTAGCCAAATTAAGCTGTAGGATTTAGAATAAATTAGCAAAAATAAATTATTAATAAACCTGCTGAACTTGTCTGTTTGTGATATGCTGATGTTTTGAAAATAACTGCTGAGTTTGGATAATAATGCCTATGCATAGACAGACACCACAAGATGACCACTGGGGTGAAACGTTAGAGACTTCCTTAAGGTAACCAACTGCCTGTTACTATGGTGATACGGTGGCAAAATTGGTATTGAGTGTAAGGGGAATTATCAAATTAGCCTATGAAAAATGGGGCTCCCCAAAAGTAGTGGAGTCTGGAAGGTCAAATAAGGAAAAGGAAAAACCTTCACAAATATGTATGAAGCCTGTGGATTGTCAGCTCAACACATTCAAAAAGCTGTTTCCTGGCCGGGGTGCCCAGGTGCAGAGGGGAGATACCAGGATCCAACCACTGGTGATGAGGACGAGGACTAATACTTTGGGTTTTTCTGCAAGGCCTGTTCTGAGTAATGGAAATATTGTGCATTCTGTATTGGTCTCTCCTTTACCAGATTGCAGTGTGTGTATTGTTTGGTTGGCTAATAAAAGTAATTATTATAGAAAGAGAACTATGTAGTCTCTGTTGTGCATCACAGACCCCCACCCCACTTCCATTGATAACCTCACTACTGTTGTCAATCTTGGGGGCTAAACTCTCATAGATTAAAGTAGGTGTCAACCCTCACCTTCAGGTGGGTAACTGGTTAAAGTAACCCATAACTATAGATAATGCTACAAAGGTTAACAGCATTACCACCTCCCACCAAAGAAAGGGAAGTAGGGAGACAAACATGACTCACAGGGGTGCCTGTGGGATGCAGTGCTTTCTGGGGCTACTCCACAGCTTATCTTTCACACCTGGCTCAGGGTTGTGCCTAAAGTCATAATCTATCTGTGACAGGGGAGCTGCTCTCAGCTCCTATCTTCCTGCACAAATGGCTCTGACACCTCTGGTTTGTAACCACCACTGTGTATGTTGTGTTCAATCCACCACTACTCTCTTACAATCCCGTGCAACAATTCTATGTACAGTGTCATACACTCATGTCATAAATATAAAGGGAAGGGTAAACCCCTTTGAAATCCCTCCTGGCCAGGGGAAAGCTCCTCTCACCTGTAAAGGGTTAAGAAGCTAAAGGTAACCTCGCTGGCACCTGACCAAAATGACCAATGAGGAGACAAGATACTTTCAAAAGCTGGGAGGAGGGAGAGAAACAAAGGGTCTGTGTCTGTCTGTATGCTGCTTTTGCCAGGGACAGAACAGGAATGGAGTCTTAGAACTTTTAGTAAGTAATCTAGCTAGGCATGTGTTAGATTATGATTTCTTTAAATGGCTGAGAAAAGAATTGTGCTGAATAGAATAACTATTTCTGTCTATGTATCTTTTTTGTAACTTAAGGTTTTGCCTAGAGGGGTTCTCTATGTTTTTTAATCTAATTACCCTGTAAGATATCTACCATCCTGATTTTACAGGGGGGATTTCTTTATTTCTATTTACTTCTATTTTTTATTAAAAGTCTTCTTGTAAAAAACTGAATGCTTTTTCATTGTTCTCAGATCCAAGGGTTTGGGTCTGTGGTCACCTATGCAAATTGGTGAGGCTTTTTATCCAACATTTCCCAGGAAAGGGGGGGTGCAAGTGTTGGAAGGATTGTTCATTGTTCTTAAGATCCAAGGGTCTGGGTCTGTAGTCACCTAGGCAAATTGGTGAGGCTTTTTACCAAACCTTGTCCAGGAAGTGGGGTGCAAGGTTTTGGGAAGTATTTTGGGGGAAAAGACGCGTCCAAACAGCTCTTCCCCAGTAACCAGTATTAGTTTGGTGGTGGTAGCGGCCAGTCCAAGGATAACGGGTGTAATATTTTGTACCTTGGGGAAGTTTTGACCTAAGCTGGTAAAGATAAGCTTAGGAGGTTTTTCATGCAGGTCCCCACATCTGTACCCCAGAGTTCAGAGTGGGGGAGGAACCTTGACAACTCATCATCCCCTTTTGCCAGAGAGAAGAAATCTCTCCATGCAGAGATCTCCATTTACCCTGATGCTGCTGACCCAACTCTCTCTCTCTCATTATCCTGCACTTTCTTCCTGTGCTCCTTTTCTACTCTTGCTGTTAATGGGCGAATTAGTTCCTTTGCCCTCCTCAGGCCCTCTCCAGGGGAACTAACTGGATTTACAGTGTTGGTTCAGCTCCTGGTTCTCAGCACTCTGTCACACACCTCCCCCCTTTATCTGGTGGAGAAGTTTCTTCTTCCACAGGTTCTCATTATTTTATTTGAGGTGCTGCTCTCTTGAGTCCTCTTCACCCCCAGGGTGGTTCTCCAGGAGCCCTTTATGGGGTCCAACCATTCTCCACCCACAAAAATTACATTGGTGGGCCAGGATCACCGCCCTATCCTGTCTCACCCCACAGGTATTCACACCAAGAGCAATATGGTGGGATATTTGCCGCACTCTCACCCCCTTTCCTTTGTGACAGGGCCCACTGGCAACCCCCGCCCACTGATCACCCAAGGTCTCAGGTTCTCCCAGGCCTCTGAACTGTTCCTGGGGTCTCCACTCTCATCATTCCGGTGGTAGGGTTCCAATAACTGTCCAATCCCTGTCAATGAGTTTGAACTCTCCTCATCCCAGAAGGCTAATTCTGTGTTTTCTTCCTTCTCCCCTGTCACACTATCCCGATGTGCTCTGATGAAGTTAAAGTTTAAACTGTGCACTCAGGCACTTCCCAGACCAGCCTACCCTGGTAGAGGCCTTGTGCTTTTGAGATGTTTACTCAGAACCTCCATCCATAAACTTTGATGCCTTTAATGATTTTTCTAATCACATTTAAGTCATAAAAGGATTAAATAAACTTGGGACTGTCTCCAGATAAAATAACACTCCATGACTTTTTACTGTGTTAAAAATACCCAGAGAAAGTAAAATGTATTACCATGACTTATTCCCGTTTCCCCATTATAAGTGTTCCTGTTGTTCCCACTTTCAACTTTTCCCCTATTCACTTCTTCCCCTTAGAATCCTTCCTACTCTAGTAGCTGCCATCTGGGAGCACCCTGGAAGGCAGGTGATTAACTTTTTCTGTGGTAAATTCAGGGCTCTCTGTATTCCCATGATAATCTCTGAGAACACACACCAACGTGCTTGTTCTTCATTAGCCCATGGGCCCAGTGCTTAGTATTCCTTTGCAACACCATAGCATCAGTTTGTTACTTGGATAGATTAGCCAAATGACTGCATTCATGTTTCACACTTAATTTCAATCAGATATTTGTTCAAAAATAAAAGAGCCACACACATTTTTAAATAATGTCATCTAAGTCTAGGCATCTTGAATACGTCATAAAGTGGCAATGAAAATTAATGTGGTTTCTCCACAAAGAAGATACCAAAAGCCAAGCACTAAAATTTACAATTTCATGATGAGTTGTATATTAATATGGATGTGGAAAGCAGATTCACCCATTTTATGTCTCTCAAGAAGGAAATATATACATATTAATTAAAAACCTAAATCGTAGCACTCCAGATAGAACTTGTTTTGAGACTAATATCTCTTTTTAAATTTGTTTGTTCCATGAGGAGTATGGTTGAAATTGATGTGTTTTTCACTTGCCTGGAAGTGTCAGGAAGGATGGCTAAAATCCGTGTTCACCCTTCAACTCTAAGATGAACTTTTCAATATTGGAATACAACTGCTTATGCTGCAATATCTAAGATTATACCTGCATGCCCTTTTATAACTAGGCCTTGTAAATTGATCTAGGGTTATATCTGGCATTCAAGGACTCAGCCAAGTAACAAATCTCTCTAAAAATGTGGACAAAAAAGAACTTGACCTTGTTGAGTAATTGGTTTGACTTAACGTCTCTGTGCTACAGTTCCCCATCTGCAAGAGAGAGATAATAGTATTTCCCTACCTCTGAGGAGTGGTGAGAGGATAAATGCACTAAAGGTTGTGAGATGCTGAGTAACTACACTAGTGGAGGTCATATAAGAAGGAAAGATAGAAATTCAGATTTAAGGTTGATACTTTGTGCTTGTTTTCTTCGTGTAATAATGAGTGAGTTAGGGATGCGTGAGAGATAAACTTCACACTCTGTAGCAATTAACTATTTGTGACAAATGGTAACACACCCACATTTGTTTAAAATATTCCACTCCTACCTCATCCAAGTATGATGAATCCTACTCTGCCTTTTTTGGCTGAATAGGACTTCGGTATTAAAGAGGAATCTTGTTCATTTCATAACACCACTGATTCACAGATATCCCTGACTGCAGGGTACATTTATTTCTGACAATGCTTGTCAGATATCATCCATAGCCCTATGAACATTGTGAAGGTAATAGTTTGGTGGTAGAGCAAACAATTTAGAAGAAAGGAAAGGTTGACTCCAGCCCAGTAAAGTTAAAAGATTTTATACAGCACCAACCCATGGAATGTTGCATATCTAGCCAGGTGCTAGAGAGCTGGTTTAAATGCCTTGCAGCAGATTTTGTAAAGTTCAGAACTACTCAAACTAAGCCTGAACTAATTGCTCTATAGACACTTGCATCGCCTGTTGGCTATCAGCGTGATTGACAGCTGGAGCCCTGAAACTGCACGTGTGGTTTCACTGCTGGTAGGGTCCCTGTTTTGAAATTGGGGGATGGAGGGAGGTGTTCCAGCTGTGAGCCCCAGCAGTGCTGAGAGATGGAGCCTTGCTGCCCAGAATTGAGAGCCTGGACTCTGGGCTCTCCGCAGACCTCTCAGCTGCCACTCGGGCTCTCAGATACCACTCTGCATGGAGCTCCCTCCTGCAGGGAGCTGAAAGTTCAGGTAGCAGTTGGGTCCCAGTTGGGAGCTCCGTGGGATCTCAGCCCCCCACACTGCCCCTCTTAAGATGGTGCAAGTGCTCCTGGAGAGGACACACACCACCAACAGAAGGAGGATAGTGTGGACATGAAAAACCACAGTAATTACTGTGATGGCGCTAAGTTGACCTCACTTAGGTTGACTTAATTGTGTAGTGTAAACATGGCCCGAGTGAAATCCTGGTCCCACTGAAGACAGTGAGATTCACTGACTTCATTGGGACCAGAATTAGTTCTAGCATGTGTTATCAACACATACCCACTTCCCAGGCTTTGACCTTACTGTTAACTCAAACAACAACAAAACATACAAACTCAAACAGCTACGCTATTCCTAAGGTTTCCCTGCAGAACCTCCTCTGTCCCAGCCTCTAGTTTCCTTTTGTCCAGAGAGACCGAACTCTCTTATATCCCAACTGGCGCTCAGGAGATTCATTTATCAGCATAAATCAGGAGTAATTAACATAATGTAGATGTAATCCCTCTCCCCTCTACCCCAACATTTGGAGTTTGCCGGCTCCTGGAGCTCCAGACTGAGTCTCTAAGGGGGCCCTACCAGAACAACTACAAATATGATGGCTATCAGAGCCCTCTGACCTCATTTCCCAGCATGCCTGGAGTCAGGGATGGGACAAAAGGAAGTAGAAACTGCTGCTGAGGCCCAATGAGGGGACAGCTTGACTCAAACACACAGATAGTTTAGTGGCATTTTTGGTTTGGAAGCAGGAAGCCAGGCAGCTCAGCTCAGGGAGTCCCTGCCAAACTCCCACTGCCCCCAAAGGGAGTTCTTGCACAGCTGTGAAATCTAGCTGCCTGGGCCAGGCCAATCCAGCACCATGGAGACCAGCCTCCAGCAGAGAGAGATCAACCCAGTGCCAGCTACAGAGAACCAGGAGTGACCGCAGGAGAGTTCCAGACCAGGGAACAGTGACCCTGGTGGGAGTCAGGAGAGGACCCTACCCACCTCACCCCTAGGTTTGAGGATAAAGTAAGGTAACTTTTTGTTTAAGCCAGCCAATACCACAGTGCTGCACTACACTGTCTGGATGCTCAGCCTCAGCCGACCATCTTCCTAACCCTGGAACAGCTTGTTTTCCCATCTGCACAGGCTCAGTGGGCCAGGGCCTAGTGGGGGTAAATGTGCCCATTCCCCTCCTTTGTTTGCCCAGCCCCCGCCCACCTGTGCAAGAAGGGGAGTAGCAGCTCAGTGCTATCACCCCATTCCCCATGCTATGAATTACAATATTGGTAGCCCACATAGGGCAATAAGCAGATTCCTGGGGATTGAAGACCTCAGTCCACAAAACAGGTACAAGTTACCTCACTTTGCCCTGCCAGTGTGTGATTATGGCCCTGTCCCAGAATGACCACTTCTACGGGTGAGAAGGTACCAGAATCTCCATGTTTCTTCAATACCTGGCAACTGCCAAAGAGAGTGTGAGTGACACATCAATTTCTGATGCTCTGCATCATCCGTCCTTACCATTAGCATTCCACATTGTTTCTCCTAGATATTACCCCAGAAGGAGTGGGACAGCGGGGAGCACATTTAACTGACTTCTCTAATTCTGTACAAATCAGAATCTGTTGACCATACACTTACCTTGAATTCTTTTTCAATGTTTGCAAGCACAGCCAGCTCATTGCTAAGTTCTAAGGCAGTCATTACCGGGTCTTCACTGGACAAGGAGAGGTAAGCAGGACTCGCCAGACCTTTGTAAGCATTGATTCTGGACCTAGAATGGCTGAAAGAGTCATGTTTTTGCTTCTGATTGCACTCACTGCATTTGCAGAAATAGTCATGTGGCCTTTCAATGCGAGCACCTTTTCTCAGAAGGGTGTGGACAATTTCGTATTCATGGCAGTGAGCAGCCAGAATGATTGGGGTAACATCATGGGAGAACCGGGTTCCATCCTCATCATATGCATAAAAGTCATCATGCTGGAATTCTGATTGGCTGGGACTTAATGCAAGTCTCTTGCCTTCAGCAAATGCAGGATGATTTAGGATGGCTTCCACTATCCGAATATAACCTTTACTAATAGCCAAGAGCAAGGCATCCCCAACCCGGGAGAGGTTCTCCTTCTTCAGTAAAAGTTCTGTAATCTCCAGATGCTCATTGGCGACTGCGAGCTGCAAAGCATTCTGCCCCATGTAGTCCACACAGTTCACATTTAGTGAGGTACATTCTTCCAGCATTTTACGAATCACGGGAATATTCCCATATTCTGCTGCATCCAAAAAACGCTCCTCATCAAGAGAAAGGCTTGTGGAATGATCATTAAACATGTACGCTGGTCCTCGACTGGCCACCCTTCTGCCCTTCTCCCGGAGTATTGTCTGTCGTCGAAGTGCTAGCCTATTCTCAGTACCTCGACTGAATGGAAAGAGAGATATTATTAATGCTTTCATATGCAAAAAGATGTGCATTTTTAACCTACACTTTGGGAGGACACAAATCTTAATACTAAAAAAAAATTCCCCATCAGTTATCTGCTGTGCACTTTTTAATGCAGAAGTGAGACCATAAAGCTTACTTTGTTGTACTGTATAATCATTATAGCCATACAAGTCTGGAATGGATACCGTTATTACTCTCTGCTTCCCTACCTCACCCACAGTTATCACATCTGAATTTAGAAAGAGAAACTGAACCAAATTTTGCTCTCAGTTACACCAGTGTAAATCTGGAGTAACTACTATAAAGACAGTGTAATTACTCCAACTTGGGAACCATGGTCTTTCTTTCCAGTACTTTCCATTATTTGTTTTAATTCTACAGATAACAGGCAAACATCTAACATTTTACAGGACTGAGACTCATCATTCCTTGTCCCACATTTGTCTCATGTATGAATGGCTGGTCCAGGCAAAGTAGGTAAAATCAAAATAATTTGCACACCCTGAGACCTCACATCCCTGGTTAAATGGATTGCAGCCCACCTGTAGACTAGGAGTGGTGATTCAGAAGCCAGAGGAGGCACATGAGGAGTGATGGTGGACCCCTGTCAGCACAACTGACAACTTGTGTATGTGGAAATGCTTGAGATTAACACCCTAAACAGGGCTAGGGCGCAAAGGCCCCATGTTAATATGTGTATAGTATATTGCTTCAATTCAGTGCTGATTGACTTCATCTGCTCTCATTCCTTCAGTTACTACTACATGAATAATTCCCTAATCTCTTTGCTCTGATTTCTTCCCCTCCATTCACTCTTGCTTTGAGTTCTGCTGATTCAAAACACTAAATAAGAGCTTAGTATTTATTATTATTTTTATTATCTGCAGCTGTTTCTCTGACATCTAGTCTGGAATGTCCAGTTGCCAATTCAACCTGAACCTGGTAGAAACTGAACATGTAATCTCCTGCTCCATTAAACCTTGCCAATTCCTTCCTTCACCATCCTCTCAATTATTCTGGCTTGCAGTCTTGATGTCTGCCATGAAATCTTGTCACCTTTTCCTTTTTAACTGCTCTAAAATCTGTACCTTTTCTTCTATTCCCACTGTTAAAACCTTAGTCCACTGCTTGGCACTCGCTCTTGTCTTGACTGCTGAAACGTGAAGTGAAACATTTTGAAAACTTGGGGTTGGCTATACTGCATTTGTTGAGAACAACTCTATTTTTGCAGTGATTTCTTGGTACAAAATATATCCAATTTTCATTAACAAGAAAAGAGAATAATAGGTAATCTGGAAAAACTAAGCTTTTAACCCCCTGCAGAAAATCATTTTCAAATTGATTTGGCCTTCTAGAATTACATCGCTAGTATCCAACATCCACTACAATTTTGTGCTTTTTTCTTTTCTTTTTTTCTCCAGTTGTAGCTCGATGGCACTCTACTGGCTTTTAAAAAAAATATTTTATTCCTTTCTTACACATTTTCATAAAATACTGCAGATTGCAACAAAGCAATATATACAGTATTCCTGAGATATTGCTTACTCATGAACATAAACTCAGATGTTAAACAAGACATGGCAAATATAAATCTCACCTCTTAAACTAGAAATGAAAACATCATCACAAAAGCGGAGGGAAAAGACTCAGACCATTTATATAGCTATGGTTCCTATAAAGCTTCTCTATCGACCAATCTTGTCCAGAAGAAGAAATTTCTTCCAGCATTGTTTTTCTTCCAACATGCCCATGTCCCCAGTCTATAGATAGAACAGTTTTCCAAAACATAGCTGCAGAGTGGTGTAATGTACTTGTAGCTAATAATATGTTATGACTAGAGACCACGACACTGGCCATTACCCAAAAAATACAAAGAAAGGGGTCCGATTATAAGATTATTGATGACATTTAGGGCTATGAATATGTGCTCAAACAAGGGAAAAAGAGAGTTAGAATTCCCCATGGCTCTATGTGGGCAACATGGACAATAGATTCAGGCACAATGGAGAAAACAGAGTTACTCATCTTAGTGTTAAATAAAAGGTTAACCTCAATTGCGAGTTGAAAATTTGTTTGACAGAAAATGGCTTTTTTATCTAAATGGAAACTTTTGTGAGAATCATCCATTTTTAACTAATTTTTTTTCAGGTTTTCAAATTCTCCCCCCACCCAACTTGACAATGAAAATGTTGTGGGTTTGATGCCATTTTTTTCATTTCTTCAACAATCCCCCCCCCCCAACAGACACACACAGAATCAAAGAAAAAAATCAGTGAAAACAATTTATTGTTTTTGTTGGTTTTTTTCAAGGGAAAAAAATTCTCACCCAGGAAAAGACAGAAGTTTGAGAAATCATAGCATCAGGAAGAAGTTACAGTATTTGGCAAGAACATACATATTGGTGGAGAAGGAAGAGAGGAAGCAATGGAAATAAGAATAATAATAAGAAAACAAAAATAACATTTGACTTCTGTAGCACCTGAGACTGTGAGCCTAAGGGAATGAAGGACTGTGTGGGGTTGGCAACTGCAGTAGAGAATGTTGAAATGGAGCAAGGAGAGAGATGAAAGGTTTAATTTTAGAAATGCTATGTGCAGCAGCACATCGAAGGAGACCTCTGAGAAACAACTGTAGGTCAGGTGTGCAAGCCTGAGCAAAAGGGGTGAGGGGTCAAGAGTAGAGAGGTAGAACTGTGAATGATGCAGATATGAGTGGTAACTGAAACCATAAGAATGGATGAGATTGCCTTGAGAGAGAACAGAGACACAAGGGGCAAAGGTTGAGAGGATTCAGATACCAAGGGACAACAGAGAGAGGAACCACTTAAAATGATGAAAAAGGTAAAAGAAGCCAGGAGAGCAAGGTGTAAGATGAAACTCGAAGGTATGCCTTAGATTTGCTTGGTGTATTTTAGTGACCTTGGAAGCAACAGGAGCAGAGAATGCCAAAGAGATGGTTGGGAAGGAGAAAATCTAGACAGAGGGAATTGACGGCAAATTTCAGAATTTTAAGAGACAAAAGGGGAGGAGGCAGATACTTTGGTAGTTGAAAAGATTTTTTTTTTCAGGATAAGGAACACAAAAGCATACTTGTAAGGCTGGAAAGAAAGAGCCGGAGTGGGAGAAAGATAGGCTAAAGATAAGGAAGAGCAAAGAGATGTAAAAGAGGACAGCTGAGGAGGGCTTTGGCTCTATCTGCCCCTTGGCTCCTATTCTCCCTTTCCCTCCAGCCCCATTCCCCACCTTGCTGCATTCTTCCACCTCCACACTGCCCCTCCCCTAGCAGCAAGAGCACTGAGAGCACAAGAGACAGTCTCCCTGCTTGCAGTTCCTGTCCCCAGCAATACAGCCACCACTGCTAATGGCTCAGCTCCTGCAACTCCAGGGAAGGAGGGTGTGTGGAAACTCAGGTGGAATATTTGAAGAATTTAGCTGCCACACTCTAACATAACTCTACTGAGCATGTGCAAACTGAGATTTTTCAGAGATTTATACCTTGACCAAATTTGAGTAAATTTACAAGGTAACAGCAAAAGGCACATCCTTGACTCCAGGGCATTCCACTGCAAAATGTCAAGTCCCTATTCCAAAGGATGGAAACATTAGCGATTTGGTTGTAAGAATATTTTTAAACATCTAAAAACTAACCCATTTTTCCTTAAACTAATTCTCAAAAATGGCTGATCCCATTTAGCTTAAATTTTCAAAAAAAAACAAAACAAAACAATTCAGCCTGAGGCAGACACCTGGCATAGAAGATTTCAGCTCAAACAGTTAAACTTTGGCAAATGTAAAAGTAAATGAAAACAGGTTCTTATCATGGAAAGTTTGGGCAAACTTTAACTACAGATGGCACTACCAGATCTGCCAATAATAAAATCATTGTTAATAATTTGGTTAAATGGGCAATGACAGGGGTAGGGCAAGACAGTAGTTAGGATTACTCAGATTTAGATGAAGGAGATAGTAAGACTAAGGAGGAGGAAAATTCCAGTCATCGAGTTTCAATTTCATTTGCAAATGTATTCTCTGAAACTGTGAGTTTATGAACACATAATTGATTAAGTAATATTTTATTCTTGTAAAGTCATAGAATTATAGACATGTAAGGTGGGAAAGGACCTCAAGAGATCATCAAGTTTAGCCCCCAATGAAGAGACTGGACCAAGTAAACCTACACCATCCCTGACAGGTGTTTGTCCAACCTGCTGTTAAAAACCTCCAATGATGAGGATTCCACAGCCTCCCTTAGAAGCTTATTCCAATACTTAACTATCCTTACAGTTAGAACATTGCTTCTAGTTTCTAACTTAAATATCCCTTACTGCAGATTACTTCTTGTCCTACCTTCAGTGGACCTGGAGAACAAATGATCACCATCTTCTTTATAACAGACCGTAACATATTTGAAGATTTATCAGGTTCCTCCCCTGTCTTCTTTTCTCAAGGCTAAATATGTCCAGTTTTGTTACCCTTTCATCATGAGTCAGGTTTTCTAAAGCTTTTATCACTTTTGTTGCTTTCCTCTGGACTCTCCAATTTTTCAATATATTTCTTAAAGTCTGGCACCCAGAACTGGGCACAACACTCCTGCTGAGGCCTCAACAATGCCAACTGGAGAGGGACAATCACATTCTGGGTCTTACTGTAGCGAGACAACACTTCACTGGTGCGGTGCCTCCCGCTGGTTGTCTCGAGAATTAGCTCTTTCCAGCCCAGAGCACCCTCTGCAGGCCGGTGTCTTGCCTGCCACTGGCTCCCATGTCCCTCCTGGACCCCTATGCCCCTTTACCTCAGGGTTCTGCCCCAGCTGTACCCCCACGCTCTGGGTCTCCCCTCCCAGGGGACCCCCCAACCCTCTAAACCCCCCGTGCCTCAGTGGCTACTGCCAGTCATCACCTAGCCCCCACTCACTGGGGCAAACTGCAGTGTAATGGCCACTCATCATTGGCAAGGGGATAGGACCTGCTGCCTTTC